GGTCCGCCCTCCTGCCAATTAAGAAGAAGGGACATCGTGTTGAGGTGCAGCACTTCAGTCAGTAAAGAGGAAGAAGCAGGGAGTAGGTGTGAAGCACCCAAGTCAATGAAGAGGATGGGGCAGGGTCCAAGAGTCCACCCCCCTGCCAATTAGGAAGAAGGGGCATTGTGTTTAGGTGCAACACCACAGCCAATGAAAAAGGACAGGTAGGGTGCAGTCTTGCAGCACCCCAGTCAATGAAGAGGAAGGGGCAGGGTGTAGGTGTGAAGCACCCTAGTCAATGAAGAGGACGGGGCAGGGTCCAGGGGTCCAGCGCCCTGCCAATTAAGAAGAAGGGGCATCATGTTGAGGTGCAGCACCCCAGTCAATTAGGTAGAATGGGCAGGGTGTAGGTGTGAAGCATTCAAGTCAATGAAGAGGACGGGGCAGGGTTCTGGGGTTCAGCACCTCTGCCAATTAAGCAGGGGCATTGTGTTGAGGTGCAGCACTCCAGTCAATGAAGTGGAAGGGGCAGGGTGTAGGTGTGAAGCACCCAAGTCAATGAAGAGGACAGGGCATGGTTCAGGGGTCCCACCCCCAATCCAATGAAGAAGACGGGGCATTGTGTTGAGGTGTGAAGCACTCCAATGAAGAGGACAGTCAATGAAGTAGTAATGGGCAGGGTGTAGGTGTGAAGCACTCAAGTCAATGAAGAAGATGGGGCAGGGTTCAGGGGTCCACCCCCCCTGCCAATTAAGAAGGGGCATCGTGTTGACGTGCAGCCCCCCAGTCAGTGAAGAGGAAGAAGCAGGTTGTAGGTGTGAAGCACTCAAGTCGATGAAGAGGACGGGGCAGGGTTCAGGGGTCCAGCCCCTCTGCCAATTAAGAACCAGGGGCATTGTGTTGAGATGCAGCACGCTAGTCAATGAAGAGGATGGGGCAGAGTTCAGGGGTCCACCCCCTGCCAATTAAGAAGAAGGGGCATCGTGTTGAGGTGCAGCACCCCAGTCAATGAAGAGGAAGGGGCAGAGTGTAGGTGTGAAGCACGCCAGTCAATGAAGAGGAAGAAGCAGGGTCTAGGTGTGAAGCATGCCAGTCAATGAAGAGGACGGGGCAGGGTGTAGGTGTGAAGCACCCAAGTCAATGAACGGGGCAGGACGGGGCAGGGTGTAGGTGTGAAGCACCCAAGTCAATGAAGAGGACGGGGCAGGGTGTGTAGGTGTGAAGCACCCAAGTCAATGAAGTGTAGGTGTAGGTGTGAAGCACCCAAGTCAATGAAGAGGACGGGCAGGGTGTAGGTGTGAAGCACCCCAGTCAATGAAGAGGACGGGGGCAGGGTGTAGGTGTGAAGCACCCAAGTCAATGAAGAGGAGGGGGCAGGGTGTATGTGTGACACCCCAAGTCAATAAAGAGACGGGGCAGGGTGTAGGTGTGAAGCACCCCAGTCAATAAAGAGGACGGGGCAGGGTGTAGGTGTGAAGCACCCCAGTCAATGAAGAGGACGGGGCAGGGTGTAGGTGTGAAGCACCCCAGTCAATGAAGAGGACGGGGCAGGGTGTAGGTGTGAAGCACCCCAGTCAATGAAGAGGACAGGGCAGGGTTCAGGGGTCCGCCCTCCTGCCAATGAAGAAGAAGGGGCATCGTGTTGAAGTGCAGCACCCCAGCCAAGTAAGAAAAATAAGACGTATCTATTGACAACCATTTTCCGGAGATGAATCTCCCCCCCGTAGGATTGTCCCTGGAATCCGAGACATTTGGCTGCCATTCCGTACCGCACCCGGCACAGCAGATGACCATGACAGGAGGGGTGCAAATCCGATCCGCCGCTTGCTATCCACTTCCCACCAATGGGCACAGAGCAGTGGATTAGCTGGGATCAGGTCCTTCGCCTGGCGCTCCATCATGCATATTCAGCCACTAATAACTGCGTCTCGTTCACAAAGACAAACACGTGAAAGTATGAAGGACGGGGTAACTTTGTGATGTGTTTCACCGGCGGAGCGCGCGCCAAGACGGAGGGATTTTATTGGACGGCAGTAATTAGGGAGATGGCAGAATTATACCGGCAGCTGTCGAAGCTCCAGAATTCACCCTGGAAAGTCTGAGCCGGAAACATGTTGGAGGAGAGCGGCGCGGCTAATGTGTGACCATTAAGATCGTATTAAGCACATGTGTGCGGGATTGTCAGGAGTTTGTGCATTCTACGTCCTCTCTGTACTGCAACACATCCAATATGTAAATCGTGTGTACGTGTGCATGCATACGTGATGGCGTCATTGCGTCATGGTACAATCCAGGCAGCATAGCCCCGTATGGAGTGCAGGGGGCAGGAGTATGTGATCAACAACACAGTGTGCAGAGGGCAGGGATCAGTAACATGTAATGTACATCATAGTGTATAGAGTGCAGGGGTCAGACGTATGTAATCAACAACATGGTGTGCACAGTACAGGGATCAGGAGTATGTAATGTGTGACATAGTGTATAGAGTGCAGGGATCAGGAGTATGTAATGTGTGACATAGTGTATAGAGTGCAGGGATCAGGAGTATGTAATGTACAACACAGTGTATAGAGTGCAGGGATCAGGAGTATGTAATGTACAACACAGTGTACAGAGTGCAGGGATCAGGAGTATGTAATGTACAACACAGTGTATAGAACGCAGGGGTCAGGAGTATGTAATGTATAACATAGTGTATAGAGTGCAGGGGTCAGGAGTATGTAATGTATAACATAGTGTATAGAGTGCAGGGGTCAGGAGTATGTAATGTATAACATAGTGTATAGAGTGCAGGGATCAGGAGTATGTAATGTATATAACATAGTGTATAGAGTGCAGGGGTCATAAATATATAATGTATAACATAGTGTATAGAGTGCAAGGGTCGGGAGTATGTAATGTACAACATAGTGTATAGAGTGCAGGGGTCAGGAGCATGTCCTGTACAGCGTAGTGTATAGAACGTGGGGGGCAGGAGCATGTACTGTACAGCTTAATGTATAGAGTGCAGGGGGCAGGAGCATGTCCTGTACATCCTAGTGTATAGAGTGCAGGGGTCAGGAGCATGTCCTGTACAGCATAGTGTATAGAACGTGGGGGGCAGGAGCATGTCCTGTACAGCTTAATGTATAGAGTGCAGGGGGCAGGAGCATGTCCTGTACAGCATAGTGTATAGAACGCAGGGGGCAGGAGCATGTCCTGTACAGCTTAATGTATAGAGTGCAGGGGGCAGGAGCATGTCCTGTACAGCATAGTAATGTATAGAGTGCAGGGGGCAGGAGCATGTCCTGTACAGCATAGTGTATAGAGTGCAGGGGGCAGGAGCATGTCCTGTACAGCTTAGTGTATAGAGTGCAGGGGGAGGAGCATGTCCTGTACAGCGTAGTGTATAGAGTGCAGGGGGCAGGAGCATATCCTGTACAGCTTAATGTATAGAGTGCAGGGGGCAGGAGCATGTCCTGTACAGCGTAGTGTATAGAGTGCAGGGGGCAGGAGCATGTCCTGTACAGCTTAATGTATAGAGTGCAGGGGGCAGGAGCATGTCCTGTACAGCGTAGTGTATAGAGTGCAGGGGGCAGGAGCATGTCCTGTACAGCGTAGTGTATAGAGTGCAGGGGTGAGGAGCATGTCCTGTACAGCGTAGTGTATAGAGTGCAGGGGGCAGGAGCATATCCTGTACAGCTTAATGTATAGAGTGCAGGGGGCAGGAGCATGTCCTGTACAGCATAGTGTATAGAGTGCAGGGGGCAGGAGCATGTCCTGTACAGCGTAGTGTATAGAGTGCAGGGGTCAGCATATGAAAACTATGTTGTTGGGAGAGCGCAGTAGTTGTGTATGATTCGTAGTTAAAGGATTTGGACTTTATACCCGTGTAGGAGCCAGGGGCGGACTGACCATTTGAGCCCGAGGGCCCAGGGTCAGTAGGGGGGCCCCATGAGATGTCCCTAGTACATTTCATAGGCTTTTTTGGGTGTGGTTTGGGTGTGGGTGAGGACACAGGGGCCCGATGATCCTCTGTTGCCCGGGGGCCCCATGTGTTGTCAGTCCACCCCTGGTAGGAGCTACACTAAAACAAGCAAATATGTTGTGAGTTATTTTGTAATGTCAAAAAAGACTCTTCACATAAAACTTTTTATTGAAATAGGTAGGTGGGGCTTTACAAGCGTGGGCGGGATTTAGAAGCACATAAGGGTGGGACATTGGTGGGCACATACACTCCCCAATCTCCGAGCACAAATCATGTCGTAGAACGACCTCCCTCATCCTTTGTGAAAGCGATTGGGATCGCCATTAGTGCCCTGCGAGTCCCCGAGCTGCCTCTGATGAACATCAGCAAGATGTAGTGGCGATAATTCCATCTGCACCACGCGGCGTGAATCCACATATATCTAAATTCAAATATATCTCCGGTGTCAGGGCGCGGGTTCCAATTAAGCCCGCTGAGGTCAGAGAAGGCGGCGTGTCATAAAATGGATATTAAATTCCGATATCTATGTTAAACAGGACCTCAACCGCCATAAAATTGATTGAAACGATTCGCATAGAATGGTTTTGTAAGAATTTGCTGTGGCGACTCATTAAATCACCGGGGTCGTTACGTGGTTGTATGTCATGACATAATGGGCGAGCTCTCCATGTGTATATCAAACACAGCGAGGATATAGAGCTGGAAGGTGGAATTATGGGATGTTAACCACTTCGGGTTCTGACGGTTTATTATGAGCCATTGGTGTGGATTCGCCTGAATTCGGTTTGGAGTAGATAACCGAATATCAGCAAAATGAGAGTGATCTGCCAGGGAGGGGATCCATGCCGATCTTCCCTTAAAGGATCTGTCCAACCATCAGTGATTTGGTTCTAGGTGAAGCCTAATAGGCCGAGTCCACCTCTCCTTCCTATTAGTCTTAGGTATTCCAACAGTGAGCTATACACTGTATTGGCCCCGCCCTACAAATCATGTGATCCAGGTGTTCCAATAGTGAGATATATTCACTATATTGCCAAAAGTATTGGCCCCGCCCTCCCAATCATTGGATTCAGGTGTTCCAATCCCCTCACAATCATGTGATTCAGGTGTTCCAATCCCCTCCAATCATTGGATTCAGGTATTCCAATCCCCTCCATATCATGTGATTCAGGTGTTCCAATCCCCTCCATATCATGTGATTCAGGTGTTCCAATCCCCTCCCAATCATTGGATTCAAGTATTCCAATCCCCTCCCAATCAATGGCTTCAGGTGTTCCAATCCCCTCCCAATCATGTGATTCAGGTGTTCCAATCCCCTCCATATCATGTAATTCAGGTGTTCCAATCCCCTCCCAATCATTGGATTCAGGTGTTCCAATCCCCTCCCAATCATTGGATTCAGGTGTTCCAATCCCCTCCCAATCATTGGATTCAGGTGTTCCAATCCCCTCCCAATCATGTGATTCAGGTGTTCCAATCCCCTCCATATCATGTAATTCAGGTGTTCCAATCCCCTTCCAATCATTGGATTCAGGTGTTCCAATCCCCTCCCAATCATTGGATTCAGGTGTTCCAATCCCCTCCCAATCATTGGATTCCGGTGTTCCAATCCCCTCCCAATCATGTGATTCAGGTGTTCCAATCCCCTCCCAATCATGTGATACAGGTGTCCCAATCCCCTCCATATCATGTGATTCAGGTGTTCCAGTCCCCTCCATATCATGTGATTCAGGTGTTCCAATCCCCTCCATGGACACAGGTGTATACAATCAAGCCCCTAGGCATGCAGACGGCTTCTACAAACATTGGTGAAAGAATGGGTCGCTCTCAGGAGCTCAGTGACTCCAAGCGTGGTCCCGTGATAGGTGGACCTGGGCAATAAGTCCATCCGTGACATTTCCTGGCTACTAAATATTCCACGCTCAACTGTTAGTGGGATTATAACAAAGTGGAAGCAACTGGGAACAACAGCCACTCAGCCACCAAGTGGTAGGCCACGTCACATGACAGGGCGGGGTCAGCGCATGCTGAAGCACACAGTGCGCAGAAGTCACCAACTGTCTGCAGAGTCAATAGCTAAAGACCCTCACACTTGGTGTGGCCTTCAGATGAGCCCAACAACAGTGCGTAGAGAGCTTCATGGAATGGGTTTCCATGGCCGAGCAGCTGCATCCAAGCCTTCCATCACCAAGTGCAATGCAAAGCATCGGATGCCGTGGTGTAAAGCACGCGCGCCACTGGACTCTAGAGCAGTGGCCGCGTGTTCTCTGGAGTGACCAATAACGCTTCTCTATCTGGCAATCCGATGGCCGTGTTTGGGTTTGGCGGTTGCCAGGAGAACGGTACTTGCCTGACTGCATTGTGCCAAGTGTAAAGTTTGGTGAAGGAGGGATTATGGTGTGGGGGTTTTTCAGGGGTTGGGCTTGGCCCCCTAGTTCCTGTGAACTGTGAAGGGAACTCTTAAGGTGACATTTTGGACAATTTCATGCTCCCAGCTTTGTGGGAGGAGTTTGGGGATGCCCCTTCCTGTTCCAACATGACTGCGCACCAGTGCACAAAGCAAGGTCCATAAAGACATGGAGGAGCCAGTTTGGGGTGGAGGAACTTGACTGTCTTGCACAGAGTCCTGACCTCAACCCCATAGAACACCTTTGGGATGAATTAGAGCGGAGACTGCGAGCCAGGCCTCCTCCCCCGACATCAGTGCCTGACCTGACCAATGTGCTTCTGGAAGAATGGTCCAACCTTCCCATAGACACCCTCCTAAACCTTGTGGATGGTCTTACCAAAAGAGTTGAAGCTGTTAGACGGGGCCAACTCATATTGAACCCTACGGACTAAGACTGGGAGGCCATTAAAGGTCATGTGTGTGGAAAGGGCGGGGCCAAATCAATATTGAACCCTACGAACTAAGACTGGGAGGCCATTAAAGGTCATGTATGTGGAAAGGGTGGGGCCAACTCAATATTGAACCCTACGGACTAAGACTGGGGGGCCATTAAAGGTCATGTGTGTGGGAAGGGCGGGGCCAACTCAATATTGAACCCTACGGACTAAGACTGGGGGGCCATTAAAGGTCATGTGTGTGGGAAGGGCGGGGCCAACTCAATATTGAACCCTACGGACTAAGACTGGGGGGCCATTAAAGGTCATGTGTGTGGGAAGGGCGGGGCCAACTCAATATTGAACCCTACGGACTAAGACTGGGGGGCCATTAAAGGTCATGTACGTGGAAAGGCCGGTGGCCCAATACTTGAGGCAATATAGTGAAGGAGAGCTAAAAATAAGCAAGGAAGGGGTCAAGTCAAGAGTCAAATTCAGGGTCACAACAGAAATACAGAAGCACAAGTCAGGTGAAAGGGATAATCCGAAGGTTACTCAACAATCTCTTCAGGGAATGCTGAGCTTAAAATAGGCCATTGTTCGCATTAATGCTGAGTTTGCATGATTTCCCCTCGCACAGGCTGGGAGGTGGTAACCATTAAGTGTGGACTACATGCTTTGATATGTGATTGTGTCCGCACTGGTGTCTAGTAAATGTTCACGCCAAGAATTTTGCATTCGTTCATTGAAGAATTTTGTTCCTTCGTATTCCTTATGTTGGAATGATTCATTTTCGGAATTCGTTTCATAACTTCAGCATTTTTTTTGTGTATTCCTTTTTTTTTCAGGCGGATTCCCAAAATTTTACAAACGATTGCTCTATATTCCCAGTTGAGTATTTTATTGCAGAATAACAAGTACAGAGAGTACCGGTAGATGAACTTTACAGACAACAACAAAATGGTGGGTGCCTAAAAACGTTCCCAAGTTGCCCCTAGTGGGAGGAGAAGCAGCAACATACAAAATGAGGTGTAACAGAGCTGAAGTTCTGATCATCCATTGAACTGCCAATTCTCGGGATGTCCTCGTTGAGTAGGAGGCTGCTAACTGCCGAGATGGTTTTGGCCCTGAGGTGCAGAATTGTACGAAGGGGTACAATGGGCAAAATGAACAGCTCAGCACGGATTCAGGGAAGAGTATCCCACTGACCGAAGGAGTTCCCAATGGCATGGCAAACAACTGCCTCAGGGGGCACCCACAGGGATGGACTACCAGTGGCAGACAGGGCCTGTGGGCCGAATAGAAAAAAGAAAAAGGAGGAGAGGGGGATGAAAGAGAAGAGCTCTATTGGGCCAGAAAGTGAAGAAGAAAGATGGGTCATAGGGAAAAGGGTGGGGGCGGGGCAGAGGAGAGGAAAGGGGGCGGAAGGGGACCCTGAGGGAGAGGTGAGTCGACCAAGGTGCCATACTGGGCTCCAAGGCATATGACAGGTACTAGCATGGGAGAAGCATCAAAGTAAACTGGAAAGAAAGTGTTCTACCCAGGGCTTCCACAACAGCTCATACTTTACTAACCAATCCCAGAGCACGCTATATATTCCATATATTATAAAATTGGAAGGATTCAATATTTTCGGCCGCTAGTCCAACCCACCAATAGAAATGGCACGGGCTGATTGAACAATCTCGACTGGCGTCATGTGTATCTCAATGAATGAACGGGACGGAATTTGGATCCGTTCGTTATTGAATTATCAAAATAATTCTGAAATTGAATTCCTTTCCCCGTGGCCCCTGAACTATTATCGCATCGCGTGACGTCATCCGAATGAAACAAATGTAAGCCTGTAAAGCTGACCCTCGTAGACAGGGACTTATCTCGGAACTTCATGCACGTCTTCTGGAGTCCTCCACAACAACGCCCCTGGCCTACACTAGCCTACTGGACTACACTAGCAAATGGGAAAGAGATCTCAACCTCACGTTGGACCCAGCCGACATTTTGGAAGGCAACCAAGTCCTCCTCCCCTAATATTGTGGCCCTTGGAAACCAACTACAAAGTGCTAACCATGGTGCTTGGTCCCCGTCAGGATCTCTAAGTGTCTACGCTTCACAGTGCTTTGGAGGCTGTACTGACTTGGGTACTCATGCCCACATTTGGTGGGAATGCCCCCTAGTGCGGACCTTTTGGTCTGATGTGTTTCAGATTCTCTCAACACTCTTTGAAGTGCCCTTACACCCGACCCTACTGTGGCTCTCCTGAACAACAAGCCCGTGGCCCTCTCCCACTGTCAATTCAAGGTCTTACTGCAAGTAACCACACCAGCAAAACAGATCATTGCAAAATAAAATATTGCACCCCGACTGCGACACCTGCAGAGAGCGTGGAAGATGAATGGATGAGGGGATTGGGACGAAGTTTCATGGAGACAGTGAAATATTATAGAGGGGGTCGGCCATTACTTCCCAGCTTACAGACAATCAACGCCTAAGCATGGAGCGCGCCAAGCTGGACAACCCACCTGCATTCCTGGGAGGAATGGTGACTGATCGATGGAGATACCGGCCATTTGATGGAGATACTGGCCATTTGATGGAAATACCAGCCATGCCCACGATACAAAGCCCAGGGGTGACTCTTTACTGCAGAAGATTTGTCATAAAGCTCATAGTTCCGCCTCGGTGTGATTTTTGTCTTGTGCTTTGAGTTACCCCGAATCCCTAGAGGATCTGTGAGATGGATTTGGTGGTCCAAGGAGACCTGGAGGACCATCATTCTCTTCTGTAACTCGTATTCCTGGATTTATGAGAAATACGGGAGGAATTTCCAACCCTGAAACCCAGGAGATACATTCCCACCAATGTAGTGACATTTCTAGACACAACACACCGCTCTCTAGTGAATGGGTAGGCTGCATTCTCAGTGATGTCATCGCTCTCTAGTGAATGGGTAGGCTGCATTCTCAGTGATGTCATCGCTCTCTAGTGAATGGGTAGGCTGCATTCTCAGTGATGTCATCGCTCTCTAGTGAACGGATAGGCTGTATTCTCAGTGATATCACTGCTCTCTAGTGAATGGATAGGCTGCATTCTCAGTGATGTCACCACTCTCTAGTGATCGGATGGGCTGCATTCTCTGTGATGTCATCGCTCTCTAAAGAATGGATAGGCTGCATTCTCAGTGATGTCATCGCTCTCTAGTGAATGGATAGGCTGCATTCTCAGTGATGTCACCGCTCTCTAGTGAATGGATAGGCTGCATTCTCGATGATGTCACTGCTCTCTAGCGAATGGATAGGCTGCATTCTCAATGATGTCACTGCTCTCTAGTGAATGGATAGACGGCATTCTTGATGATGTCACCACTCTCTAGTGAATGGATAGGCTGCATTCTCAGTGATGTCACTGCTCTCTAGTGAATGGATAGGCTGCATTCCCAGTGATGTCACCACTCTCTCTTTGGGGTATAGGTGTGTTATGCTATCAATAATATTTCACATACTATATACAGTATATACTGTATACAGTGAAGGAAATGTGTATTTGCTCCCCCCTGATGCTGAATGTTCGCCCCTCACACAGAAATGATCGGTCTAACAATGGAATGTTCGCCCCTCACACAGAAACGATCGGTCTAACAATGGAATGTTCGCCCCTCACAAAGAAACGATCGGTCTAACAATGGAATGTTCGCCCCTCACACAGAAACGAATCGGTCTAACAATGGAATGTTCGCCCCTCACACAGAAACGATCGGTCTAACAATGGAATGTTCGGTGTAACACTGAGAGACAGAATACAACAACAAATTCAGCAGAAATGCGTCTAACAAATGATGACTGATCTGCATATTCATGAGGGAAAGAAGGATTTGATCCCCTATCATTCAGCAGGATTTCTGGCTCCCAGGTGTCTCTCATACAGGTAACAAGCTGAGATTAGAAGCAGTCTCTTAAAGGGAGTGCTGCTAATCTCATTGTGTTACCTGTATAAAAGACACCTGTCCACAGGAGCAATCAAACCATCAGATTCCAAACTCTCCACCATGGCAAAGACCAAAGAGCTGTCCAAGGATGTCAGGGAGAAGATGGTAGACCTACACAAGGCTGGACTGGGCTACCAAACTATGGCCAAGCAGCTTGGTGAGAAGGTGACAACAGTTGGTGCAATCATTCACAAATGGAAGAAACACAAAACAAGTGTCAGTCTCCCTAGGTCTGGTGCACCATGCAAGATCTCACCTCGTGGAGTGTCAATGATCATGAGAACAGTGAGGAATCATCCCAGAGCTACACGTGAGGATCTTGTCAATGATCTCCAGGCAGCTGGGACCACAGTCACCAAGAAAACAATTGGTAACACACTACGCCGACAAGGACTGAAATCCTGCAGTGCCGCAAGGTCCCTCTGCTCAAGAAAGCCCATGTCCAGGCCCGTCTGAAGTCTGCCACTGAACATCTGAATGATGCAGAGGAGGACTGGTGGGAAGTGTTGTGGTCAGATGAGACCAAATTCCAGCGCTTTGGCAGCAACTCAACTCGCTGTGTTTGGAGGAGGAAGAATGCTGCCTATGACCCCAAGAACACCATCCCAACTGTGAAACATGGTGGTGGAAACATTCTGCTTTGGGGGTGTTTTTTCTGCTAAGGGGACAGGACAACTGCACCGCATCAAAAGGGATGATGGACGTGGCAATGTACCCTCAAATCTTGGGGGAGAACCTTCTTCCCTCAGCCAGGGCATTGAAAATGGGTGGTGGATGGGTGTTCCAGCATGACAAGGACCCAAAACACACGGCCAAGGCAACAAAGAAGCGGCTCAAGAAGAAGCACATTAAGGTCCTGGAGTGGCCTAGCCAGTCTCCAGACCTTCATCCGATTGAAAATCTGTGGAGGGAGCTGAAAGTTCAAGTTGCCAAACATCAGCCACCAAACCTTAATGACTTAGAGAGGATCTGCCAAGAGGAGTGGGCCAAAATCCCTCCTGAGATGTGTGCGAACCTGGGGGCCAACTCCAGGAAACGTCTGACCTCTGTGATTGCCAACAAGGGATTGGCCACCAAGTACTAAGTCATGTTTTGTGAAGGGGATCAAATCCTTCTTTCCCTCATGAACATGCAGATCAGTCATCATTTGTTAGACGCATTTCTGCTGAATTTGTTGTTGCTATTCTGTCTCTCAGTCTTACAATACACCGAACCAGGGGCGGACTGACAACTCATGGGGCCCCCGGGCAATAGGGGATCATGGGGCCCCTGTGTCCTTGACCAAACTCAAAAAAGCCTATGAAAAAGGTACCAGGGGCATCTCATGGGGCCCCCTACTGACCCAGGGGCATCTCATGGGGCCCCCTACTGACCCCGGGCCCTCGGGCAGTGCCCGAGTTTCCAAACGGTCAGTCCGCCCCTGCACCGAACATTCGATTTTTAGACCAATCATTTCTTTGTGAGTGGGAAAACATTCAAAATCAGCCGTGGAGCAAATACGCATTTCCTTTGGTGTATCATACCTCCTTCCAGCGTTCTCAGTGCCGATGGTGGAGCCTGGATCTAGTTCTTCGGGAAGATCCCTAATGGTAATAATAAGTGCGGTGCTCATTATACGCAGATCAGCTTACAGAACGCAAGGCGAGTATTCGGCTGTCACTTCATTACATACAGAGCCGTGACAAGGGATGAATTGCAAAGGAACTTCACATTACCATATTACCGTCCTATATCTCAATGTCGGGTTCAGCAAACAATCCGCGTCATCATCTGCGGAGGGAGCTTGTCAGTGTAATTGTCACTGGAAATCAGAAAAAAAAAACCGCACATTGATACTTCATATCCGAAACCTGTGAGCGCTAATTTATTTTTCTATTTTTTATTTGGCTCAGCGCTCTTCTTTCCTCGCCTTGTCACCGGGAAAATTAATAGCCACTGACATTTTTAATCTATACGCTCCTCATCTCCCCGCGTTGTGCCGATTCTCCTCGTCTACAGGATTAGGACACAAAACAGTTAAAGAACAGGTGTCATCTCTTCTGTATATTAAATCCTTCTCATCCCTCAGATGGCAATTATTTCCGCAAGTTCTGCTTTCTGCAATCAATCAGAGAGACCGGCTCTGAGGTTGGCTTTGATCATAGAGATCAGGAAGAGTTCAGGAGGCAGAGTTGAGACTCCCTAGAAAGATGAACCCACGTTCGAAAAGATTACATGGACGTCCTGTGTATGAAATTCTTACCTTCTTCTGCCCCCTCTTGTTGTTTGTCAATCCCAATCCCTGTGTAGATGCATTTTATACACTGAGATACCCAAAGCACTTAGTCTAGGAGGAGAGAATCTGCTGCCAGTTGTAGGGAAAACCTAGAGCAGCCATTCTCAACCAGGGTTCTTCCAGACCCGGCTTAGGGTTCTCTGAGCTGCGGTTGATTGGCCTCCCATACGATGGTGCCTGGAAGACCAACGCCACTGGACAGAGCCATCAGCATGACAACAATTATCTTTTCAGTTGTCTTTAAGGGACATTCTTCCCACTGATCACCAATGTAAGGGACATTCTTCCCACTGATCACCAATGTAAGGGACATTCTTCCCACTGACCCCAATGTAAGGGACATTCTTCCCACTGACCACCAATGTAAGGGACATTCTTCCCACTGACCACCAATGTAAGGGACATTCTTCCCACTGACCCCCAATGTAGGGACATTCTTCCCACTGACCCCCAATGTAAGGGACATTCTTCCCACTGACCACCAATGTAAGGGACATTCTTCCCACTGACCCCCAATGTAAGGGACATTCTTCCCACTGACCCCCAATGTAAGGGACATTCTTCCCACTGACCCCCAATGTAAGGGACATTCTTCCCACTGACCCCCAATGTAAGGGACATTCTTCCCACTGACCCCCAATGTAAGGGACGTTCTTCCCACTGACCACCAATGTAAGGGACGTTCTTCCCACTGACCACCAATGTAAGGGGCATTCTTCCCACTGACCACCAATGAAAGGGACATTCTTCCCACTGACCACCAATGTAAGGGACATTCTTCCCACTGACCACCAATGTAAGGGACATTCTTCCCACTGACCCCAATGTAAGGGACATTCTTCCCACTGACCCCCAATGTAAGGGACATTCTTCCCACTGACCCCCCCACTGAATGTAAGGGACATTCTTCCCACTGACCCCCAATGTAAGGGACATTCTTCCCACTGACCCCAATGTAAGGGACATTCTTCCCACTGACCCCCAATGTAAGGGACATTCTTCCCACTGACCCCCAATGTAAGGGACATTCTTCCCACTGACCACCAATGTAAGGGACATTCTTCCCACTGACCCCCAATGTAAGGGACATTCTTCCCACTGACCCCCAATGTAAGGGACATTCTTCCCACTGACCCCAATGTAAGGGACATTCTTCCCACTGACCCCCAATGTAAGGGACATTCTTCCCACTGACCCCCAATGTAAGGGACATTCTTCCCACTGACCCCCCCAATGTAAGGGACCCCCTGACCCCTGATGTAAGGGACATTCTTCCCACTGACCACCAATGTAAGGGACATTCTTCCCACTGACCCCCCAATGTAAGGGACATTCTTCCCACTGACCCCCAATGTAAGGGACATTCTTCCCACTGACCCCCGAATGTAAGGGACATTCTTCCCACTGACCCCTGAATGTAAGAGGCATTCTTCCCACTGACCACCAATGTAAGGGACATTCTTCCCACTGACCCCCAATGTAAGGGACATTCTTCCCACTGACCCCCAATGTAAGGGACATTCTTCCCACTGACCACCAATGTAAGGGACATTCTTCCCACTGACCCCCAATGTAAGGGACATTCTTCCCACTGACCCCCAATGTAAGGGACATTCTTCCCACTGACCCCCGAATGTAAGGACATTCTTCCCACTGACCCCTGATGTAAGAGGCATTCTTCCCACTGACCTCCAATGTAAGGGACATTCTTCCCACTGACTCCCAATGTAAGGAACATTCTTCCCACTGACCACCAATGTAAGGAACATTCTTCCCACTGATCACCAATGTAAGGGACATTCTTCCCACTGATCACCAATGTAAGGGACATTCTTCCCACTGACCCCCAATGTAAGGGACATTTCTTCCCACTGATCACCAATGTAAGGAACATTCTTCCCACTGACCACCAATGTAAGGGACATTCTTCCCACTGACCCCCAATGAGGGACATTCTTCCCACTGACCCCCCAATGTAAGGAACATTCTTCCCCACTGACCACCAATGTAAGGGACATTCTTCCCACTGACCCCCAATCTGAGGGACATTCTTCCCACTGACCACCAATGTAAGGGACATTCTTCCCACTGACCCCCAATGTAAGGGACATTCTTCCCACTGACCCCCAATGTAAGGGACATTCTTCCCAATGATCCCAGATTAGTGCATACTACGTAGTGAAGGTCAACACCATCTAATGGCCGACGTGCACACTACTTCAATGTTATCCCAGTGGAGCGCACACATAAGAAACCTTCAGAGACCTGCGAGGGGCGGACTGCCCAGAGGCCTCCACAGAGATGTTACTGCATCCTTAAAAACTACCCAAAACCTCTTTAAGTTCAGCTTCCCCATTGACTTCAACGCGTTACAGTATTTCAGGAAAATGAAAACTCTCACTTTGGCTCATCCCTACCCATTGGCTATGTTCAACCCCCCACCATGTCCCTACTCAGCTCTGCGTTACCACGTTGTTCCCTCACTGCTCCTTTGTTACTGGCTTGAACTGTACTCCTACTCAGTAAATTGGAACATAAAGGCTCGGGAGCCTCTGAGGATTGAGGCCTCTGAAGGTGAAATTGGCTACAGAGATGACCACTAAGTCTGAAGAGTGGCATTGAAAAATGACTCTAGGCATCAACTCGGAATTCCAAGTTCATTTAGCAAGCACAGTCCTGTACGGAGCCATGTTCACGGGGAGCTAATTGACAGCTTACACTGTTGGCTGTGACACGGCAGGCTGGTGGGTTTTCTGTAATGAGATCCGTTAGCAGTAACCAACTCTCCGGTAGGGGAATCATTTAAACACTCCGCAAATTGTTTTTGAATAAGCTTGGCTTGTTCTGGGTCAGCGAAGCCCTGAATCCAAAGGAACGACTGCCAGGCAATTAGCATTTTCAGAAGGAGAGGTCAGCAGCCCCCTGTGTTTCTCCATAGACACAGATTTTGTTCTAGGCTTTTTTGTAGACAATAGCGGAAGGAAATTCAGCCTTTCTCTGCCTTTTTACCCAGGAGGAACCCTTGAACTACATTTCAGGTTTTAGGGAACCTCTGCTAAAACAGGCGGTCATTGTCAATAATTCCCCTTACATTGGCGGTCATTGGGAAAAATGCCCCTTACATTGGAGGCCATAGGGAAAAATGCCCCTCACATTGGAGGCCATTGGGAAAAATGCCCCTTACATTGGCGGCCATTGGGAAAAATGCCCCTTACATTGGGGGGTCAGTGGGAAGAATGTCCCTTACATTGGGGGTCAGTGGGAAGAATGTCCCTTACATTGGGGATCAGTGGGAAGAATGTCCCTTACATTGGGGGTCAGTGGGAAGAATGTCCCTTACATTGGTGATCAGTGGGAAGAATGTCCTACATTGGGGATCAGTGGGAAGAATGTCCCTTACATTGGTGATCAGTAGGAAAAATGTCCCTTACATTGGGGGTCAGTGGGAAGAACGTCCCTTACATTGGTGGTCAGTGGGAAGAATGTCCCTTACATTGGGGGTCAGTGAGAAGAATGTCCCTTACATTGGGGGTCAGTGGGAGGAATGTCCCTTACATTGGAGGTCAGTGGGAAGAACGTCCCTTACATTGGGGGGTCAGTGGGAAGAATGTCCCTTACATTGGGGTCAGTGGAAGAATGCCCCTTACATTGGGGATCAGTGGGAAGAATGTCCCTTACATTGGTGATCAGTGAGAAGAATGTCCCTTACATTGGGGGTCAGTGGGAAGAATGTCCCTTACATTGGGGATCAGTGGGAAGAATGTCCCTTACATTGGGGATCAGTGGGAAGAATGTCCCTTACATTGGTGATCAGTGGGAAGAATGTCCCTTACATTGGGGATCAGTGGGGAGAATGTCCCTTACATTGGTGGTAAGTGGGAAAAATGCCCCTTACATTGGAGGCCATTGGGAAAAATGCCCCTTACATTGGAGGCCATTGGGAAAAATGCCCCTTACATTGGCGGCCATTGGGAAAAATGCCCCTTACATTGGCAGTCATTGACAAAAATGCCCCTTACATTGGCAGCCATTGGGAAAAATGCCCCTTACATTGGCGGTCATTGACAAAAATGCCCCTTACATTTGCAATCATTGGGAAAAATGCTGGTGGTGGTCAAAATACCCCCCCTCCAGTCAGCTAAAAAGATCACTTGGTGTCCTAGCACTTGTAGGCAGTCTGTATCCCCGCTGTCGGTGGCTCTGTGCTAAGTGGCTGTATGGAAGGGGAAAGAAGTTGTGGAGAACCTAGTTCCTTGGTCACCTTGGAGCAACTGTCCAATCGGACGAGGCGTGAATCCGTAATGAGGAACAAGCTGAAAGTCAGGGCGTGGAAGTACTAGGGAGGTCATCTGTCAAGTCAAACGTGTGACATTTGTTTCTGGTCATTTGTAAAGGTAGCAGGGAAGCTTTTCTTGTAAAATGGATGGGTAACTGGGCACTGCCAAGGGGACACGTACCAAAAAACAATATGAGAGGGTCCTTGTAATGTGCCCCTAAAGATCGACTTTGGAAATACACAAATCCTTTGACCACTTTAATACCGGACACTTTCACCCCCTCTGATATTATGATCTCTGTGGCCATTTTGGATGAGGACAGAGCTTTTTTAAGCCTCTGACCTCTTTATTTGGCACCCATTTTGTGAATGGCCAGTGTAGGGACAGGTTCCAGAGGGACATCACTTGGCATTGAGGAAAGGTTCCAGAGGAGTAGGGAAAGTGCAGGGACTACATCTTCCTCCTTGGAGAAGCTTCCCCATTGGGCAGGAACAGCAAGGTTGCACTTCCACTCCTCGTTGCAGACACTGTCTTGTAAGTGGTTCCAGATGGCTGTGCTCACTCGCCAAGCCTGGTTGTACCTTGTTGGAAGATTTTCAATATATTCAGTTAATCGCACTCTGCCTCTGTGTTCTCTACCGCTGCTACACCATGCTGCACGCTGCTCACACACTGGCAAGTAGAGTTAGACCCGGAACTATACAGGCGCCATCAGATAGGAGGTCAATCAACCACAGCTCAAGGAACCCCTAGAAACCTGTGGAGGAACCTTAGAGTTCCATGGAACCCTGCCTGAGAGTGGCTGAAAGGTTTCAGATAGTGAGCCTCATAGCTCAGAACGCTGGTTCAGAAAGCAATGTGGTTTCGGTAAGGAACAGTTGGTTTGGTTGGGACTCTGTTAGAACCTGATGACCACTTCTTCGGCATGCTTAAGCATCAACCTTTGGAGGGCGGTCTATATGCAGGAGCTGGTACTTTAGTGCTGGTAGTAAGGTGGCTGTTTTTCCAGTGGGGGTGAGCTATATTCAGAGCAGCGAAGGTCATTACTGGTGGTAAGCATGGAGGTGTGAAGCCGTAATGAGGAACAAGCTGAAAGTCGGGGCGGGGAAGTACTAGGGAGGTCATCTGTCAAGTCAAATGTGTGACATTTATTTCTGGTCATTTGTAAAGGTAGCAGGGAAGCTTTTCCTGTGAAATGGATGGGTAACTGGACACTGCCAATGGGATCCGTACCAAAAAACAATATGAGAGGGTCCTTGTAATGTGCCCCTAAAGATCGACTTTGGAAATACACAAATCCTTTGACCACTTTAATACCGGACACTTTCACCCCCTCCGATATTATGATCTCTGTGGCCATCTTGGATGAGGACAGAGCTTATTTAAGCCTCTGACCTCTTTATTTGGCACCCATTTTGTGAATGGCCAGTGTAGGGACAGGTTCCAGAGGGACAGCACTTAGCATTGAGGAAAGGTTCCAGAGGAGTAGGGAAAGTGCAGGGACTACATCTTCCTCCTTGGAGAAGCTTCCCTATTGGGCAGGAACAGCAAGGTTGCACTTCCACTCCTCGTTGCAGACGCTGTCTTGTAAGTGGTTCCAGATGGCTGTGCTCACTCGCCAAGCCTGGTTGTACCTTGTTGGAACGTTTTCAATATATTCAGTTAATCGCACTCTGCCTCTGTGTTCTCTACCGCTGCTACACCATGCTGCACGCTGCTCACACACTGGCAAGTAGAGTTAGACCCGGAACTATACAGGCGCCATCAGATAGGAGGTCAATCAACCACAGCTCAAGGAACCCCTAGAAACCTGTGGAGGAACCTTAGAGTTCCATGGAACCCTGCCTGAGAGTGGCTGAAAGGTTTCAGATAGTGAGCCTCATAGCTCAGAACGCTGATTCAGAAAGCAATGTGGTTTCGGAAAGGAACAGTTGGTTTGGTTGGGGCTCTGTTAGAACCTGATGACCACTTCTTCGGCATGCTTAAGCATCAACCTTTGGAGGGCGGTCTATATGCAGGAGCTGGTACTTTAGTGCTGGTAGTAAGGTGGCTGTTTTTCCAGTGGGGGTGAGCTATATTCAGAGCAGTGAAGGTCATTACTGGTGGTAAGCATGGAGGTGTGAATCCGTAATGAGGAACAAGCTGAAAGTCGGGGCGGGGAAAGGAAGTACTAGCGAGGTCATCTGTCAAGTCAAACGTGTGACATTTATTTCTGGTCATTTGTAAAGCTAGCAGGGAAGCTTTTCTTGTAAAATGGATGGGTAACTGGGCACTGCCAAGGGGACCCGTACCAAAAAACAATATGAGAGGGTCCTTGTAATGTGCCCCTAAAGGTCCTCTTTGGAAATACACAAATCCTTCAACCACTTCAATATCGGGCACTTCCACCTCCTCCGATATTATGAATTTTCCAGCACACTGATCTTATTACCCCACGTGGCTAAACCCAATTGGTTACTAGTGTAGTAATTCCACCCCACCAGAGGAGAGCACATCCAATGTCCTAATTCCTATATGTATTATTATATTTCTACAGGCAGAGCCCCCTCTAGGTTTAGCTAGATAGGATTTGTTATTTTTGTAAG